TCCCGCGGCGGTCCGGCTAGCCCTGGCTCTGGCGGCTCCCTGGGGAGACAGTGGAGAAGACATTGCCGGCACTCCAACCTCCCCTTTCTCCGCCCCCGCCGCCGAGGCGTGGGACAGTACCAATCAGCCTTTTGCTTTCTCAAAGCCTTTTGGGCTCTTTTGCCTTCTGCTCCCTGGGAGCGCGCAGCCCGTGCCAGGGCAGCTGGAGATGCTGCCGGGGGCCAACCCTGGAAGCCCCGTCAGACGCTGGAGCCAGAATGCTGGCGAGCCAGGAGGGATGTTAAAAATAACGTGGCGTGGAGACAGGAGGACTGGCAACCTGCCGCTGAATTCCCGCTGCCACTACGAGCTCAGGGGCTCGGATCCTCTGCTTTGGAGCCCGGCTTCTCGCGGGCTGAACCGAGCCGGCCTCCCTCCCTCCCTGCTCCTGAGCCTCTTGAGACCAGCCCAAGACACAGCTGTCACCAGCTGCTCCTCTGAGCCCACAGCTGGAGTCCTCCGCTGGGCCACAGCCTCCTGGGGAGAAGCCAGCTCTACTCACTGGCTCCTCCTGCAGCCCGCAAACCCTTTGGCTCCTGAATGCCTAGCTCCTTGGGGATGAAAATTCACACTGGTGCCGGCCTGACTCAGTGCCTGGAGCTCACTAGCTCGTCTACTCACTGGCTCCTCCTGCAGCCCGCAAACCCTTTGGCTCCCAAATGCCTAGCTCCTTGGGGAAAAAAATTCACACTGGTGCCGGCCTGACTCAGTGCCTGGAGCTCACTAGCTTCCAATGACACCCAACTCTGCAGTGGAGCCAGTCTACCTGCCTGCTCCATGCCAAGCCACTGGCTCCATCCTCTCCTAGCAGCTCTCCCCTGACCCACAGCCAGGGCACCAGCCATAGCCCACACTCACCACAGGGAAGGAGCAATGTCCCCTCTACCTGTTTCCATCCATGTGCGGAATCAATTTTGTTACATGCACGGATATATGTGCAGATGTGCACCACCCATAGAAACCCCTGCTGCCAGCTGTGGGCACGCTGCCAATCAGTTGGGTGGCACCTGTGTCACTCCTGCGCGGCCGCCCAAGCACTCAGCTTACAGGGAACGCTGGGCTGGAGCATTTCCAGGGGCCGCCTGTGCTCTGACACCAGGGAGGAGGAAATCGGGCGAGGCTAGGAAAAGGCACCCTGCATTCCCGCTCCTGTGCGTGCAGCCCTGCTAGGGCTCCCTCGCTGGAACCGCGGCAAGGGGGCAAACTGCTCTGCTCAACGCACCAGCCACGCCATGGAAGTCACCAGCGCTCTCCTTGCTGACACCTGCTCTGGCCTTGCCCCTTCTTTGCAGGGCCCAGCCTGGGGTAAGCAGGGACAAGCCTACGGACGTGAACGGGGACTGGCTTCTGAGGAGCCCGCCAGCCAAGCTGCCTGCAGCCAGCCCCGCTGGGGGGAACCCGCCACCCCAGAACTCCCTGTGCATCGGACAAGGAGCTGAGCCGCAGTTCACTAGTTAAGGAACGCTCCAGTACAAAGGCTCACGGTGCCAGGAAGCCTTCGCCCCGCTCTCCGGCCACCACTGGGCAACCCAGCCAGGACAGCTGGAAGTGAGGAGTTAGCAAAACTGGGACCCCCTCCGGACAGTGCCGGGAGAATCCAGATTGGGAACAATGACCAGCCCCCCTGATTGGCCTGAGCCTCCTATTTAAGCCAGGGAGCTGTCCAAGCAACTGAGAGATCTCCCAAGAGATTCCAGCTCTGTCCCTTGGCTTAGATGCTGACTCTGGGCATTAGATAAGGCGGCGGGGAACCTTTTTTGGGTGGGGGCCGCCCACAAGTGAGAAGCAAAACCAACCAAACAACCCCTCACTGACGTGTCCCCGACCTTCCCTATATTCCTCTCGCGCACCCTGGGCCGAAGGGGGCCCAGGCTGGCAGATTTGTGTGTGCTCCAGCGGCCTTGGAGGGTGGTAGGGGGGCTGGAGAACCCTGAGATAAGGCGGCGGGGAACCTTTTTTGGGTGGGGGCCGCCCACAAGTGAGAAGCAAAACCAACCAAACAACCCCTCACTGACGTGTCCCCGACCTTCCCTATATTCCTCTCGCGCACCCTGGGCCGAAGGGGGCCCAGGCTGGCAGATTTGTGTGTGCTCCAGCGGCCTTGGAGGGTGGTAGGGGGGCTGGAGAACCCTG